ATTACTTGAGCCCAAGAGTTTGAGGTTGCTGTGAGCTGTAACACCACAGCACTCTACCAAGAGTGATAAAGTGAGACTCTGTCTCTTAAAAAAAAATAAAAATAAAAATAAATTGTAATACCTACCTAACAGGTACAATCTAGGGCTATATGGCTAAGGTGACCAGACATCCCACTTTTGGCAGGACAGTCCTGATTTTTAACAATTTGTCCCGCGTCCCACAGCATTTTTAAAAAGTCCCAGTTTTTGGAAAGAATGCACAACAAGCTAGGGAACAGCAGGAGAACAGAAAGGGAATATACAGTTTGGGGCTGCCATGTGGCTATTTCACCAGGATAGGAGTTTTATATTATTTTTGTTCATTTTAGAATGTTAAACTTTAATAATAACAAATAATTGTTGAGAACTGATTATTCAGAATTGCTTATCAAAGTTTGCATTGTTGGTCAATTGTTACAATTTGACCACCATTGTTTGGACTTAATGAACAATGGCATTTTTTGGCATTTGGCAACCACGAAAACATTTTGGAACTGTCTCTCAGACCATACACATCATACTGCATGCTAGTGCTAGTTAAACAAGTGATGTCAACAAATCAGCTATTCAGATAATTTAGGGAAGCAATTTATTTATTTATTTCATGAATTTAGCAGACAGTACTTGTATTATTTGTATTTTACAGTGGTGGCAAAAAAAGTCTAGTGCCAGCCTTGAAAGTGACACAACTTACAAGGTATCATTATTAAAAAAATAGATTGATAAGGAAAAGGTTAAATCTTGGGCATCAGCTAAAATCACAATAGAGAACAAATGGTTAGAAATATTTCATCATTTTGAAACAAACCATGTTCCATACAATAATGCACTAAAAATCGTGGGATACGTGCTGTCCTTACCAGGAACTAATGCTGCGACTGAACGCGTTTTTTCTACAGTAAATAAAGTGTGGACATCAGAAAAATCACAATTAAGTGTGAAGACTTTGAAAGCCATTTTATGTGTGAAATATAATTTAACAAATTCTTGTGAAATTTTTCATGACCTTTTAAACGACGACAGCAATCTACTAAAAAAAATTTCACTCAAATGAGAAATATGCCAAAGAATAAGATAATACTATACATAATTTTTAATGTATTATATTTGTAAATTGTACTTATGTTGAAATTAAAAAATATATATTACAATACTATGTTTGCATTCTATGAAAATTTTTGTTGCTCCATATAGACCAAATTTTTAATTAAGAACAACCCCACCCCTACCCCCAGTCAATGGTGTCCCGCTTTACCAATGTTAAAATCTGGCCACCTTATATGGCACATCTCTTGGGTGAGGGACTCAACTACAATTCGATTACCTAACAAAAGCATATAAGGTAACCTAATCATCTATACCCTTGTACTAAGGCAAAAATTTTTTTAAATTGTAGTACTCAATATATGCTAGTAACAGAAGACAAATATAAGCCATATTGAGCAGAAATTAAATGTGACTTGATTACTACTACAAATTTAATACACTATTTTTCCTTTCTTAAAATGTGTATACATTATTTTGGCACCCTCTGTATATAAGGTTAATTGCTTGGACAATAAGTCCTTAGCTGTAGTTCCCCACCCTTTATCAAGTGGGAAATCAGAGATTTCCATCCTCATGTGATGGTTTTAGTATCCCCTGATGGAGAAAATACAAACTAGGAATGCAAAAATAGCTTCAAGTTTCTTTTTTTTTTTTGAATTTTGTTGGTATATATTTCCAAATATTTAATGCTTCCCCAATAACTGACTATTGGGCATAACAAAAAGCATACACTAGAAACACTCCTTGTGACTAAGTAGGAAAACCCCAGCATGAGTAGCTGGTTTAACTGGATGTTTTTCTCAGGTCACCACTAACTTTATGGTCTTCAGCAGATTCCTTAACCCCAAGCTCCTATATATGTATAATAGCAGCATCAGGGTGCTGTAATGAGATAGCTTAAATGAAAGCTCTCTGCAGTGCTTGAAATGCTGTATCAATACACATAATGACCAAATTCCAGATGACAGGATCTGAGAGAGCTAAGCTGACCAGTATTATAAAAGGAAGCTTATTACAAGCCCAGACTTGTTTTAAAGATACCTCTCCATGTCTCTTTAATGAAATGTACTGATATTTAATAGAATGGTTTATACTGAGAAAAAGAATAAGAAATGAGCAGAGGAGACAGAGCCTGGGATAGCTCACATGCACGCTCATTGATATTTAAAAGTAAATTAAAGGGCCAAATGCTGCCCATAACCCCAGCAGGGTGGCATCTATTTGTCCATGTGCACAGGCACCTCTGGGTTACCCTCACAGGCAATGACAATATGCCGAGTGCTTGACTTGGCTCAGTATCTGCAGTTGGGGATCCTGGAACCTCCTGTCTCCTTGCAGTCTGTGACCTGCACTACACCCTCATGACAGTTCATCCGGCCATTCTTGCACGGGATATTGGAGGTGTTGCAGATATTAAGAATGTTCCCGATGTCTTCATGGATGAAGGTATTAAAGGGCTTGCATTGACGAATAGTCATCCTCCGTCTTTGCATCATCACGTTGCAGTAACGATCATCACCACTTGTCACCTGAAGGTCCATGTGTTGCCTCAGGAATCGCTGGTACATGGCATGCTGGCCATAGGAGGGCTGTATTAGCCCCAGCCCCAGCAGGGTCAACAGCAAGAGCAGAAGCAATGGATGGGTCCTCTGCAGAGCCATCAGTATGTCAGAGATGCCTCAGCTTCGGAACTAGGCAGCAGGAACAAGGCGGAGCCGTGGAAAGTTTTGTTTCTCACCGGCTTCTTGCTCCCTGACACGATCAATGATGGGGAGCTGGTAGCTATCCTTTAGAATCTTGCTTTGGATCTGCTTGGGGTCGGAGTGCGTGCATGTGCATGGTGAGTGAGTGTGTGTGTGTGTGTGTGCATGCATGAACAAGACAGGTGGCATTCCAAGTAAGTTTCTATTACAGTATTCTGATAATCACAACATCTATAAATGTAGTATTATTTATATTACAAGGCATATTGCTATCTTTATGCAAGGTAAATTATTTATTCAGTTTACACTTACTGTCCTATATGGATGCAAATTCCGGAGCCTTAAGTAATTACTTCAGAAATCCTCAGCCCAGGAGGCTGCATCCCACAGTTTAGAAACCATTATCAGGCCAGGCGCAGTGGCTCATGCCTGGATTACCTGAGCTCAGAGTTGGAGACCAGCCTGAGCTAGAACAAGACCCCATCTCTTAAAAAAAGAAAAAAAATAGCCAGGCCTTGTGGAGGGCTCCTATAGTCCCCAGCTACTCAGGAGGCCGAGGCAAGAGAATCCCTTGAGCCCAAGAATCTGAGTTTGCTATGAGCTATGATGCCACGGTACTCAACCCAGAGGCGACAAAGTGAGACTCTGTCTCAAAAAATAGAAACAATGATAATATGACAATTCAGGGAAGGAAAAGGTTTTATTCCTAGGGAAAAACACCCAGAGGAGAAGTGAAACCATGCAATATTTGGAGAATATTCTCTTTGGAGAATCAAACAGTAGCTACTATGTGCAAGGCACTCCTGTATATCAGGTAAGTATTATTGTGCTCACTTTCCAGATGAGGAAACTGAAACTCAGAAAATTTTAGTGACTTGCCCAAGGCCACCCATCTAGTAAATGACATTTCTTGGATTCAAATCCCCACCCAGATCTATTCTACTTCAGGAACTATGCTCTTTCCACTACCAGGTAGCCACTCAAATGTATAGAAATTAGGCCATTATGGCCCCAGCTGAAGAATAATGTTGATGAGAGGTGGGTGATGTTTGATAAGTTAGATTGGGGCCAAGTTGTGCAGGTCCTAGGCAAAAAGACCTGGCAGTGAAGGGTCTAGTATGTTTTTGATGAATAGAATGTTCTTAAGCAGGAGTAATAGAAAACACTGGCCAGGTAGGGTGGCTCACACCTGTAATCCCAGCACTCTGGGAGACTGAGGCAGGAGGATCCCTTGAGCTCAGCAGTTCAAGACCAGCCTGAAGAAAAACAAGGCCCCATCTCTACTAAAAATAAAAAATATTATCCAGGCACTGTGGCAGGAACTTGTAGTCCCAGATACTTGGGAGGCTTAGGCAAGAGGATCACCTGAACCCAGGAGTATGAGGTTGCTGTGAACTAGACTGAGACCATGAAACTCTAGCTTGGGCAACAGAATGAAACTCTTTGTCTCAAAAAGAAAGAAGATGGCAGCGCCTGTGGCTCAAAGGAGTAGGGCACGGGCCCCGTATGCCAGAGGTGGTGGGTTCAAGCCCGGACCCAGCCAAACATAAGACTTAGAAAAGACGTCATTTAGAAGCCAAGTTAGTTCATCCAGATATGAGACGATAAGGGCTTGACTAAGGCTGGAAGTTATAAAAATGGAAAGAAAGGAATAGGCTTATAAGACAAGGGGGAAAACGTTTCTAGGAACTGGTGATGGACTGTTAGATGGAAAGGGGTGGAAAGTCACCAATCTAGTTGCTTTATTTTAGGATCCCTGAAGTTCATTTGTCTATAGATCGATCTTCTGGTCAGAGAAAAGGCCAAGGAGAGAATCACCTGAGGAACATCTTCAACCTGCGTGGAAACTCACCCGGAAGATTGTCAGAGTCTGAGACTCACCCTCACTCTGGTCCAGTTTACCCTGACCTGCCTACCTCTGTTATACTGCAAGTCTCTTTCCCTACTGGACCAAACATTGGAAACCATTTAAGGTATCTATGGGAGCTGGTCTTTTAAAGCCAATTGAATTCTACATGGTGGTCACTACCTGCACCTGGAGACTAGAAAAGAATGTCAGTCTGTTTTCATTAATCCCTTCTGCTATTGTCTGAATGTTCATATCCCCTTAAAATTTATATATTAAAATTCTAACTTCTAGGGCAGCACCTGTGGCTCAGTGGGTAGGGTGCTGGCCCCATATACCAAGGGTGGCAGGTTTGAACCTGACCCCGGGCCAAACTGCAACAAAAACTAGCCAGGCATTGTGGCAGGTGTCTGTAGTCCCAGCTACTGGGAGACTAAGGCAAGAGAATTGACTAAGCCCAGGAGTTGGAGGTTGCTGTGAGCTATGATGCCACAGCACTCTACCGAGGGTGACAAAGTAAAAAACTCTGTCTCAAAAAAAAAAAAAAAAATCCTAACTTCTGGCCAGGTGTGGTGGCTCATGCCTCAAATTCTACTACTCTGGGAGGCCAAGGTGGGAGGATCACTTGAGCTCAGGAGTTCAAGACCAGCCTGAGCAAGAGCAAGACCCTATCTCTACAAAAACTAGAAAAATATTAGCTGGGTATAGAGGCAGGTGCCTAAAGTCTTAGCTATTCAGGAGGCTGAGGGCGGCGCCTGTGGCTCAAAGGAGTAGGGCGCCGACCCCATATGCTGGAGGTGGTGGGTTCAAACCCAGCCCCGGCCAAAAACTGCAAAAAAAAGAAAAAAAAAAAAGAAAAAAAAAAAGAAACCTCAGGAGGCTGAAGCAAGAGGATAACTTGAACTCAGGAGTTTGAGATTGCTGTGTGCTAGGCTGATGCCGTGGCACTGTAGCCTAGGCAACAGAATGGCCTAAATAAATAAATAGTACAGGCATGGTGACTCATGCCTATAATCTCAGCATTTGGGAGGCTGAGGCACATTTATTGCCGGAGCTCACCAACCTGAGCTAGCGAGACCCCGTCTCTAAAAACAGCCAGGCATTGTGGCAGGAGCCTATAGTCCCAGCTACTTAGGAGACTGAGGCAAGAGAATCGTTTAAGCCCAGGAGTTTGAGGTTGCTGTGAGCTATGACACCACAGCACTCTACCAAGGGTGACAAAGTGAGACTGTCTTAAAATAAATAAATAAATCCTAACTTCAAAGCTGATGGTATTATTACCACATGTAAAAGACTGAAACTGGACCCACACTTTTTACCACTTAAAAAAATTGACTCACAATGGCTAAAAGATTTAAATCTAAGACACAAAACGATAAAAAATAGAAAATCCTAGGAAAAAACATGGGAAAAACTCTTGATATCAGCCTGGGGAAAGATTTTATGAAGAAGACTCCATAAGTAGTCATAAGAACAAGATGATAGGCTCGGCGCCTATAGCTCAACCGGCTAAGGCGCCAGCCACGTACACCTAAGGTTGCGGGTTCGAATCCAGCCCGGACCCGCCAAACAACAATGATGGCTGCAACCAAAAAATAGCTGGGTGTTGTGGCGGGCACCTGTGGTCCCAGCTACTTGGGAGGCAAAGGCAGGAGACTTGCTTGAGCCCAGGAGTTGGAGGTTGCTGTGAGCTGTAAAGCCATGGCACTCTACCCAGGAGGATAGCTTGAGGCTCTGTCTCAAAAAAAAAAAAAAAAAAAAAGAACTAGATGATAGTATTAGGTATTAGTATTGGGGCCTTTGGGAAATTGATTAGGTTTCATGAGGGCAGAGCCCTCATGAGTGGGATTAGTGCCCTTATAAATAGGCCCAAGAGAGCTCGTTTACCCCCTGCTCCTGCCTGAGAGGACACAGCAGAAAGGCATCACTTATGGACCAGAAAGCAGCCCTTACAGACACTGAATCTACCAGCACCTTGACCATAGACTTGCCAGCCTCTAGAACTGCGAGAAATAATTTTCTATTGTTTATAAGCCACATAGTTTGTGATACTTTGTTATAGCAGACCAAATGGGCTAAAGCACCTTCCCTGGGCTTCCCTCAGCTTTTGTTGTGGAGCAGAGCAGAAGGCAGTTTGACCAGGACCCAGAGGATTGATAGGCTGGGCTGAAATGATGTAAGTTTGGTCATCTGAAAAGGTCAGAAGGTTGGCAACTTGTTTAATTCACTATGCAAAGTAAGGAAACCTTAAGCCCTCCTCCAAAGGCATGGGCCAGGAATGATGTCACATAAGCATTGCTGAGGTCACAGAAGCTTGCCTATCCTCCCTTCTGTCTCCTCATTGCCACCCAGTTTCCCCAGCCAGCTGCCTCCTACACATATCCACACACACACACACACACAAAGGCTAGGAAGGGTCAAATACGATCCAGGCACTCTTAGGTACACAAAGGTGGTGAGGAAATGGGGGATTATTCGGTATATAGGAACCGCCCCAGCATTCCCAGTGCTGGGAAGGGGAGGCTCATGTTGTGGCCGTGGTAGGTGGCATGGGGGCCAGGGGTACAGGGGAGGGAGCGGCCGGGACAAGGGGATTTGTTCCTCTTGCCGATTGATTTAATATTAACCTTCATCCTCATTACTTGTCAGTCCTCCCTTCTCATCCCTGAGGTTCCCCCCTTCACTCCCCGACCTCTAGCTGACCATGGCATCTGAAGCAGAGAAAACATTCAAGAAGTTTGCTGTCTTTGGAGACTCCTCGAGCAGTGGCACTGAAATAAATAACAAGAACTTCTCGAAGCTGTGCAAAGACTGTGGCATCATGGATGGCAAGATGGTCACCTCCACAGATGTGGACATTGTGTTCAACAAAGTCAAGTGAGGAATCACAGACACAGGGGTAGGGGTGAGGAGAACGAGCAAGGTAGCTAGCCATGGGAGGGTCACCTTCACCACAGAATGGTGCGGTGGGCCTACCAAGCACTTACAGGGTGTCGGCACTGTGTTATTCTCTGAGACACATGGTGATGGGACAAAAGAGGCCAATCATTAGTAAGGGAAGGGCCTTGGAAGGTAATGAGTTCATTCTATAAAGTTCCCGGATTTTTCTCTGATTGACCAGGGCCAAGAATGCCCGAACCATCACATTTCAGCAGTTCACAGAAGCAATGAAGGAACTGGCCCAGAAGCGGTTCAAGGAAAAGAGCCCAGACGAAGGCCTACAAGACATTTATAAACTCATGGAGGGCAAGGATCCAGCCACCACTGGTGTTACGGTCAGTGACAGTCTTCACCTCTACCCCCGGACTCTTTTTCCCTAGATCTCTACTGTTCCAGTCTCACCTCCTGCCCACCAGGGTCCCTAACCCTGCCAATAGTTGTGACTAAAGGGACAGAAACCGTGTGGTCCACTGTTAGTGCTGGAAACAGACTTTAGAAATCATCTAGTCTGGCTCGGCGCCTGTGGCTCAAGCGGCTAAGGCGCCAGCCAC